AAATTAAAATTTTTTATCAAATAAAAATTCTTAACAATAACTATATATAAGAATAAAAAATTTAATTATTGTTTGGACAATGATTAGCATATATTTTGGTTTAATATACTATATAATACACTTTTTAAAAATTTATTATTTTTTTGTTTAAAATTAAGACTAGACAAATTTAAAAATATAATCATATACACAGAATGTAAAAATCCATTGAATTAACTATACATATATTATATTTAATGGTTGAATTAGAAATGTGTTAAAAAATATATTAAACAAAGTGTGTATAAATCATTTTCTTTATTGTTTATATAATTTATTAAATTTTTACCTAAAATTTATATTCTTAAAATAAAAAAATCAAATTAAATACATCAAAAATAAATAGAAAGATTGAGTATTACTATAAAGTTATGTAAGTAAATTAAATAATAAATTAAAATAATAAAAAAGAATTAAATTTAATGTAAAAAACCCTCCCAATATAAGGGGAAAACCACTGAAAAACGAGAAATATTCACTGTTAAAAAAAGTTGCAATATTAGAAATTCAAACTCAATTTTCTTTTGAAGCTCTCAATCTCTCAAGTTATATATCGGACAAATGAAAATTCCTTCAAAACAAAAACTAGGGAGGAATGACAGTGAGTCGGTGAGTTAACTACCCTTATAACCGACACCCATCGGGTAATTTTTTATGCTCACCTTGCCCATTACTTTTCGAAGTAAAAATATACATCATCCTTACCCTCACCCGTTAGGTAATGAGTAATTTACTGTACCCCTTAACATTTTAGCTGCTTTTTTTTAAAAAAAATAAATTTATAATTGTAAAATCGAAAATTTTAAATTTTCAAACTGTAAACTAATGTAATTATAATATATCTAATAAACAACGATAAAAAAAAATTAAATCTAATAAACTTGTAGGAAAAATATGACATAAAAATTCAAATATACACAACTAAAAATCATAGTATAAAGATGTTAAATAAAAAATTTAACTCCAGAAGATAATTGTTTTTCTAAGAAAAAGTCCTATTCAAGTTAGTTTCTCATTTAAAAAGCTTAAGGGACTGTGAGTTTAATTTTTATCTTACCACAATTACTTTGTGAATGTTGCTAATTTCCTTTTGGGAGGAAGACAGGTAAAATAAAGAAATTAAGCTTTTAATTTTTAAGTTTAAGTTAATTTAGCTATAAGAGATTTGTCTTTTA